GGGCTCAGCCAAGCGGGCCTCTCTGCCTGCAGGGTGGGAGCACAGAGCCTGCCGGACTGCTGTGGGTGCTCCTGGCCGGCTCCCTCCTGGAGACGCCACGTCCAGGGGCGGCCGAGGCCGATGTCTTCTGAGCAGAGGGGAGGGGTGGGCAGGGAGCAGGTGGGCAGCTCTGCCCAAGACTCTTGGCAAACACCTCCTTTTCAAGCACAAAGAGTTGGGAAATCACGTCCTCTTTTAAAGAGCCAACATCTTCCCCTTGGGACCATGGCGGGAAGGGCCATTGCTTTTCCTCACTCGGATCCATGTTAAGCCAGAGCAGGAGGAAAAAGGAACATCTGGGGGATACGACGCTGCAATGCCACATTGCTAGAGGGCTGACTGTGAAGGAAGCCGGTTTCAGCAGACCTTCCCCAGCACCCTGTGCTGCCAACGGTGGGAAAAAAACATGATCCAAGTATCTGTCAGAAGCAGAATTACCAAGAACCGCACGGAGGCTTCTGCACGTAGGAATCACAAGTCTCACGCCAGGCTTTAACTGGCCATGGTTGAGGGGTGGGGGCTGGGGGTGGAGCAAGAAACAGGAAAAGCAGTTCTTGTGCCCCAAGGGCTACGGGTCCAGAGCCTGTCTTTGCATGCAGACGGACTGGGTGCGTTTGTGGGCAAGCCAAAAACCTGTGATGCAGAGATCCACTGCTGTGGCTCACAGGCGACTCCAGTAAAGGGAGACCACATGGCAGGTCTGCCTGCCGCCCCCCCCCCCACCAGCAAGAGTTTGTCCTCCTGATGCAGCACCACTTTCACTCTGCAGGCAGCCAGCCAAGCCCCCCTTCCCGCAACAGCCTTTTGGAAGTGCAAGCTCTCCCTCCCCAATGTACAGATGCTCTCAACTGAAGAAGACCCTCCAGCCGGGGGGGGGGAATACTCACAGCTGGATGTCCAAAAAAATCCGCTTCTCCTCTCCCACGTGGACCTTCCAGACACAGTCCTCGCCCTCTGCATAAGGCTCCGGCCAGTTGGGGGACAGGATCACTCCAGATGCCATGGAGAGCTCTCCTCCACAAGTAGCTGCAACGCCGAGAGTCAGACGTTCCCCCTGCAAACAGGAGCCTCCCTCTGAGGCCGGCCCACAGCCCCTCTCCCCCGACCCCCACTCACCTCGGCACAATGGCTCCGTGTCGTTCCAGTAGGGGTCTCTGAGGTTGATGCACTCAATGACTGCTGGCCCCTGCTCCAGGGTGTGGCCGGGATCACAGGTGAACTCCACGGTTGTCCCAAGGTTGTAGGTGGCGTCGGAGGTGGTGAAGTTCCCATTCTGCAGGTACGGCTCATAGCAGTGGCCCTTCTCAAAAGCTTGAAAGGAAGCAGAAGGGCAAAGACTGGCACAGGCAGACCCCAAACACCCCCCTTCTCCCAAGAGGCCTTGCAGTTCACCCCCCAAACGTGTCCTTTTGGTGCAGGAACGCAGCAGACTGACCCCTCCTAGGTCTTCAAGGAGGGGGCAAACAAAGCCTTGAAGCCGACTGCGGGAAGGGGGGAATTGCTTTGCAGAGGGATGTGAACTGAATCCAATTTGAGCTGGAAAATTAGGAGGATTCAATTCAGTGCTCTGATTCTGTAAGTTGAATCAAACTGTCAAAGAGGATCAATTTGATTCAATTTTCCAGTTCAGCTTTTAAAAAAAAAGGTCTTTTGCACATGTGCAGTAGACCTTTTTATCATTCGACTCTAATCTGATCTGGGAAATTGAGCTGATCTGTCAATTCAGTTCAAAGCTTTGAATCGTTCAGGCGCTGTGCTTGGCCGATTCAGGCCCGCCAGCTCCAGGAACTCTCCAAGGTCCTGCTTCCTGCCAAGCAGTCCTGTGAGGCAGCATCTCGGTCTCCACTGGGCCCTTGGCACACCCCGGCAGCAGAGCTTTCCTGGTGCCGTCCAGGGAGCAGAGACAGCACTCACGTGGGCGAACTCAGGGAAAACCCTGCGTGAGACGGGAGCAGGTGCAGTGACTTGAAAGAGCAGGGAACCTGGGGAAGAAGAGGGTGTGCCAGGCTGGGTAGGGGAGGAGGCACAGCCTGGAGGAGGCGGAAAATCAAGCTATGTTCATCATGGCAGAACGTATGCAGAGAGAAAGATGAAAAAGGAGGACTTTGGCAGCAATCCTAATCAGAAGCAGTGAGGTCCAGCAAGCCCTTGTAGGAAACAAGTGTTCTACAGCTAGCAGAATGCCGTGGCCAAGGGTTCCTGCTTCATCCCAAAGAAGGAATGGCTTCATTAGGGCTGAGCGGCTCTTCCCATGCCGGGGGAAGAGAGAGCCCCGGGACACGCAGAAGGGGTAAGGGTGTCAAGGGCTTCCCTTTCAACCATCCCCTGAGGGGTTGATCCATCTTATTCCACCAGCAAGGAAATGCCCTCTTCTGCTCTCTCATGTCCTTCTTTAATTAGCCCAGCACAGGAAGTCTGGCCCTAGATGGGGATGTCAATAAGGTTGCCCCTCATTTTTTTCAGCTGTGGGCTAGATCACCTCTGCAGGACCCCTCAAGCCGCCCTTGGGCAGCGGCTACTGGATCAAAGGTTAATTCCTGGGATCTCTCTCGTATAAGGAGAGAAGAATGAAGAAGGGACGACTTAACTCTTAATCCTCCAACAGGAGTGGACAGCAAGTAATAAAAGCAGCATTCCCACAGAGACATTGTGTGTATTTAAGATGAATTATCCCTGCTGCAATTGGTGGCTTACATATCCCCATTGCTTTCAGTTCTACTTCCATCTTTTCCGTTTATTTTAATTTTTTTTTTAAAGGTGCAATGCTAGCAAATCCGGACCTGCGGATCTCCAGCACCCGCATGGCAGGAGTGTTCCTCACTGTAAGCAGCCCTCAGACACCTCGACCTACCCCTGTTTTGACAGGGGGGTTACATCCCTGCCCGTTGCTTAATTTGAGCCCCCCGGCTCACCACTGCTGCACCAGCATTCCCATCAAGTTGGAGTGACAGGAGAAAGAGGATCACCTTCAAATCGAATGTTGAATGTCGGTTCTGCATTTGGATCCTCTGAGGCGAAGTCGACACGCAAGGTGTTTCCTTCGCTGATCACTCCTTCGAAGGGCACGTTGCTGTTCTGGCGAGAAGCGTAGAGCACTGCCGAGTGGTTCGACTCTCCACTGTAGACAACCATGCTGGAAAGCAAGACCAAGGCCAAGGCCAAGGTCAGGAGGCGGCGGCGGCCTTGGCAGAGCGCAAGAGGATGGTCCTCAGAGCCGCCTAGACCCTCCTTGCTCCCAGTTCAGCTGGTGATGAGATCCCCCTTTTTTTCTACTTCTGGAGCTGCTCCTTGGCTCTACAATTCCTGGGGTCGTATTACACTCACATCAAATGCAAGACAGAAAATATCTGCTGCAAAAACCCAGCCAAGGCGTGCCATAAAAACTGAAATATCTGCACCCCAGCTAAGAACAAGGAAAAACTCTGGAAGCGTCACCAGGCTGGACCAAGGAGTCTTCCCTGGGAAGGTAACTCCCTCTGGGGGCACCCCCAGCGAAGAGAGCCCAGAGAGGCCCAGGGGCACGGATGCGTCCCCCGCGAAGCCACGTGCTTGTCACGGCCCCGGCCGGCTTCCCTTCTGCCCTTGTCGTCTTGGTCCACGTGGGCAGGGACGGCAGAGTCCAGCCCCAGGCCAAGTGGGAGGCCAGCCTGTAGCGGCAGGCCCTCGGCAGCAGAACCTGCCATCCCTTTCCAGGCCAGGCTGCCGCTGCTGGATCCAGGGGCCACATCTGCCCTCCACTAAAGGCTTCCCTGGGGAAAACATCCGGCTGCAATCTTGACGGGTCCCTGAGTGGGCACGGCGCCTCTTCAGCCCTCCTCGGAACATGCCTCCCCTCTCTTCCCTCCCCACCTCTCTGCCCTGCACAAAGCCACCCTTTTGGGAGGGCTGTACAAGTGGAAACTGCCATGTTTTCTGTGGCCATAACAGGTGTTTTACTCTGGAATTGCAGCACAGCTCATAAAGTTGTTTTATTGTCTGTTTACCAGTTCCTTTTCTTTTTTTAAGAAATGCTGCTCCTTTAAACACAAGCACCTGTCGCTTCAAATGCTGTGAGTCTCATGGTATTGCCAAAGTGTGCTGGGGCTCCAGATGCTCCAGATGTATCTTGGAGGAGGACTCAGATTTCTGGACACCTGATGTGCAAGCTGGCAGAAAATGGCACCAGATTTCTTTTGAAGTATACAAGTACAGCTTAATGTTACAAACCGCAGCTCTTACGGAAGACATTTTTGGTTGCCACTGTTGTTGCTTCTCAGAGAAGGAAATGCAGCCATTTTTTGCTTCACTGGGGATGAAATTTATATCTTGCCTCCAGGAAGCCCCTGCCTACCATGCAGAAGGTCCCAAGGAAAAAAAATCAGGGGCAGGAAGGTACGGGGGGGGTGCGATGAGCCAGATCCAGTTTGGATCTACAATTTGGTCTGAATTTCTGAACTGGATGTTCAGTTGATTGGTCAAGTTGATTTGATTTGACAAATTGCAGGCAGCAAAATTCAGCTACGTCTTCAGATCAGTCCGACTGGATGATCCCAACTGGCCCTTCTGAACTGAACGCAATCTTTGCCCGGCCCAAGGTCCAAGCATCTTGCTCCTTGTCACCCTGAAACCTCACCTCTGCTTGTCCCCCAGCACCAGCCTCTCAAAGTGCAGATGAAGCTTCTGCCCCTCAGGGGCGCTGACTGTCCACACACAAGCCACGCTGCCCGTGTGGTTCCTCAGGTGGGTTGGGGCCAGGATGCGGCCGATGGTGGCATTGTGCACCGTGCCTCCACAGGGGGCTGAAAGCAGAGACCCGAGGAGGGCACAGGTGGTCAAGCAACAGCCCGCCCAGATCCCGGCTCAAATGCCTCCCAGTACCCTGTACCTGAGCAAACAGGCTCCGGGGCACTCCAGTGTGGCTTGGAAGCATTGATGCAGGTCAGGCTCTGGGGACCCTCCAGCTCATACCCCAGGTGGCAGTGAAAATGAGCCATGCCGCCGGAATGCAGGCCCATGACAGTCACCTCCCCGAAGTTGGGCCTCCGTGGGAAGCTGCAGCCCAGCATAAACACTGTCAGGAAAAGTGCACAGAGGATGTGAAAAGCGAAGCACGGGGGGCCTTTCGCCAAGCAGCATCAGAGAGAGGGAGGCTGCCACACTGACTCTCTGGATTCGGAAGACTTTGAAGTCTGCTGGGTGAAAGGGGGTCTCCTGCAGCTTGGTCCACCCAGTAGGAGCAAGACCAGGAGAGGCTGCGTTCAGTCCACCAACAGGGAGGAACGGTGGAAGGCGGTGCGCTGGCGCCCCTCCCTCCGCCACGGAGATCTCACTAGGACTCTGCCAAATGGGTCGGTTCTCCTCTGGATGCCCTCCCGGGAGGGACTTCCTTGGAAATACAGCCCGGGGGCTCCTCTCCTGCAGCCCCTTTCCCCGGCTCCACCTGCCATCTTGGAGCCCGGCCCTTCACGCTGGGCACGAAGGCCACTGGGGCGTCACCTGCTCTGATCGGCTTATAAGCCCCTCGGTGTCTGCCTTCGCCCTTTCCGCTTCTCTCCAGTCTAGAAACGCAAAGAGCGTTCCCCTTCAGCTTCATCCCTGAGCACACCTACGCCTTTTGTGCCAGAAGGAAATGACAGGCAAGCGGCTAGAGGTGAAATTGCCTGTCTGGGAAATACGCCAGCAAGACCGGGGGTGGGGGTGGTTGAAGCCCTTTCAAATAAACAAGAACTCATTTTCATTTTGCTGCGGACTGAGCCAACGCGCCGCATCTGGCCAGAGGGCACTGCTCTTCCGACTCCATCTTGGAACAGCCCCGTTTCTTCCAGAGAAGGGGACGGCACATTCGATGGGGCAACTGACCCGCTTTGGACCCTCCCAGACTCTGCTGGTGCAGCAAACAAGCCCCTGCTTTTGGGAAGGAAGAACTGCAAGGAAGCCAAGGGGCAGCTTTACCATCTTGGGTGAGGAAGGGCTGCCCCGGCCAGCTCACCTTGATAATGGAGCTGGAAAGTCCCAAGGTCATCCTGGAAGGTCCGGAAGAAGACCGAGATTGTGTTGGTGGGGCTGCGGATGACCTGGCCTTCTACCAGGAGCGTCTGGTTGGCCAGCGTGACCAAGTGGCCACTGTCCTCCCCACGAATGGCTAGCACTTCCCCCTCGGACAGGTTCACGCTCTTCACCTTCACATCAGGGAGAGACCCGTTAGGAATGAGCAGAATCCAAAATCCCGCCCGCTGCTCAACTTGGGAAAAAATGATTTCCGCTGTGTGGGTATAATTATCCCCCAGATCAAGGAGCTTGGCCTATGCAAAATTTTCTGCTGTGGGGCAGCCAAACAAACAGTCTTGGAATGAATAGACCAACAGATGGGAGTTGCTGGTCCATTTTCCACTGAATGAGCCAAGTGGTTCTTTCCTTAACCCGAGTGGGTTTTGTGCTCTGAATGACATCCCCCGAAAGTTTTGCTCCTGTTCAGTAGGGCATTTGTGCCCCCTGAAATGTCCTGGTCTAATAGCCCCAGAAATTATCCAGAGCATCCTCGTATGCAACCTGTTCACCATCATGGCCATTCTGCAGTGGCAACAGCTATTTGGCCCGTCGGCACTCCAAAGGAAAATAAAATAGGAGCAAACACGGAGACCATTTATCAGAAATATATTCTGGATTATTAATAGCAAGGGGGATGGAGCAAAGTACCCGGGGCCACAGCTGGCACCAGCTAGTCTGCCCAGCTAGACTTTCAGTGCCTTAGGGAAAAGTAACTTGCAAAGCAGAGCCACACAGGCAAACGCAGCTGCTTCGGCTGGTCCTGGAGGTCAGAAAGGGCCGGGGGCAGCACCCGATGGACTATGGCATAGGTCCATAGGTCCAGGATGGAAAGGCGGGTCAGCCCGCAGCTCAGCGGGCCCTTTTCAAAGGAAGGGCCGCCGCTTTTCCCGACCAATCACCGCAAGAGCAGAACTGCTTGCTTAGCAGCCGTGCAACGTTGCAGAAACACAATTGTTTACGCTGCGCATCTTATTTAAGCCTCCCAGCCAACGCTGGTCATGCAAAGGACAGGGGAGATGGAGAACGGAGCAAAAAGAGGCGAAGGAGATTCTGTTCCTGTGGGGTGGAATGAGGGCTCCGCAACCTTTATTTCCATCCCACAGAGCAGGTTTGGAAGTCAGGGGCCCAGAGGAGACAGCACTTTGCACACGGCCAGGGGCGCTCTGCTTAGCTGTAATAGCTAGCCGTGTTCAAGAGCGAAGGCTGGCAGAGCCCACCCAGTTCAGCAGCCCTCCGCAGCCAGCCCTCCAGCAGGCCCCCTACCTGCAGCTCCACGCCGTACCCGGTGTAGACAGTCACCCGGAAGATGCACTCCAGGACGTCACTCTGCGGCACCAGCGGAGCCTCCGTCGAGTCGATGTAGCCCTCCGGCCCGGAGAAATTTGCACTGCAGAGACCTGGAAGCAAGGCCAGCTTAAAGCTCCCTGATCTGGTCTCTTCCAGAATGCCCTAGAACAGCCAAGCCGCAGCCAGGGTTAACCCCCTCAGAGGGCTGGGGCGTTCTCACGGCTGGAAGCGTCCTCTGCTGGGCAGGGGCTGGGAGGGAGGGAGGCCAGGCAAGGAAAAGGGCTACGCTCGGTTCGCTGAAAGGAGCCCCCTTCCCCATGAGCAGAGAGGGAACAGGAACAGAAGACAGCCACCGAGGCAGGAGGGAAGCGGTGGGGAGATGGGGGGCTCACGCCCTCATACAGGGCAGAGATCACTTACTCGGCACCCGCTCCGGGGGGCTCACGGTGGCGGAAGTAGTTTCTCGGCTCTCCCTGGAGGAGGACCCCCCCTTCCCCTCATCCTCAGCACCCTGGGAGGTGCCGCTGGGCAGGATCCCGGCCTCCTCCTCAAGGGTATCCGTCACCCCTTGGGGGGAAGCCTGAGGGCCCCGAGTCACCGGCGGAACCGTGAAAGGGGAGATCTGGAGCAAGGAGTGGCTGGTTACACCGTGGCTCCTTTTCCTGTCGTCCCCCACAGACGTGGCGGGCTGCTCATCCAAAGCCCTGGGGGGCATGTCCCCCACATCCTTCAGGGGCTGCCAGCTGTCCACAAAGGGCCTGAGGCTCGTGGCAGGTTTCGGCCACTGGTGGTTCCTGCCCAGGGTCTCCTGCTTCTTCCTGGCAAGTGGGGCTGGTCGCACGTTGGGAGGAGAGAAGGCTGTGGGCCCGGGGAAGGCACCCCTTGGGGGCAAGGCCAGCTTGGGTGTCAGGGCATCCAGGGGCTCTTCTGCCACCTGCTCAGGACTCCCCGCGGTGGGGTATCTGGAAGGCCCCATCTTCTTTCTGAGAAAGGTGCTATTTGTAAGTTCCTCCCAGCGGGAAGAAGAGCTGGCTTTCCCCACAAAGCTCATGCCTGCAACAGAAAAACGGGAGAAAAGTAGGGTCACCTCAGGATACATCAGCAGCAGAAGATGGAGAAGGGGGACAGCATGGCCTTCTCTGGGGGGCGGTTTTGGGGGGGCACGTTCTGTGCCTGGAAAGCTGGCAGAGATGTTTTTGCCTTGTCTCCTGACATCCAACGCCTGGGGAACATCAAGATCAAGCCGAGGTTGACTGGGAATTCTGTGGGACATGGAGCAGGATCCGCCCCTGTATTCCTGAGCGAGCGAGCGAGCGGCAGGTTGAGGGAGTAGAGCAAGGCAGGGGTCCGAGCCTCTGGCCTTCTTGCACTTGTCCGGCAGTGCAAGTGCTTGAACAGCAAAGCCCTGGCGCCCCCCCCAGAGGAGCCGGGGCAAAAGCTGCCCCCCCCAGTTTGGCACTGCACAGCTCAGGAATTTGGGTGAAGGCAAGAGGGGTTCAGGCAGTGAGAGCGACTCAGGGCCTGGCCTCTTGTTGTCCCTGTCCACACAGGCCGCAAGCCCAGGTGTGCGCCAGTTCTCTGATCTGCCCAGTGGCAAAAAGGGGGCTCCAGACAGATCAAGGGGGTGAGAGAGTTGCCCCTTTCCCAGAGACTCAGCTAAAGGCATTTCATTAACCCTGGAACCCCCGGGCAACTCTCCCCCCTGCTGGGCCCTTGCAGACCTCGGATGCCCCCTTTAAGTGGAAGCGGAAGAGGAGACCTTCGCTCGAGGTCCGGCCTCCATCTCCCCCAGCCCCAGATAGACAAAAGGGGACCATAATGTGAGATGCGAATATCCCCAGCTGCCCCCCACCAGTCTGGTGTGAGCGGTTCAACATCTCCCGCTTAATGGCTCTCAACTTTACAGTGCCCAAGGCCTCCTTCGCCGGTCGCTGGGGGCGAGATTGGCTCCGGTGGGCATCTAAGCGGCTCCCGGCTGGGCTCCAGAGCTCAGCGAGGAGGGAGAGAAC